CAATAAGTATATTGGATAATTTTTTGGAGATTTGCAACAATTTGAAAAAAACATTTTTTTCCCTCTGGCGAAAAAAACATTTTTTTCCCTCTGGCTTTATTGTAAGACTCTAGTGTATAACACATATAGCATATAAATATGTGTTATCAGTTAAGGCTTCTGGTCATCAGTAGGCTGTTAGTAGTTAAGTTGGGGTGGGGGGAGTCAAAAGTTATATATGGATTTTTAGCTGTGGGGGTTGGTGCTCCTAAACCCCACATTGTTCAAGGGTTAACTATCCTTAAATCCTGAGTTTTCATAATGTGGAAGTACTTATAATTTTTTAAAAAGTTGTCTTCCTTTCTCTTTTAATAAGAATTTACTAGAAATAATTTATACTTTATACTTTGGGTTAGTATTTCTATAAAAATGTTATTGTTTTTAAAGAATTTCAGTATCCCAGAATGTTTAAAAAGGATACTGTATAGATCCTTCATATTCCAATATATTAAAACAAAACATAACCAGAATGTGAGAAAATAATGGCAGTGAAGTCAAAACAAAAAATTATTTTTTTAGTATGAGTTAAAAATTAGTAATGGTAGGTAAATAATAACTTTTGTTAAAAAATAAAAAGGAGAATCTGTCTTGAATAATGGTAGAAATAGAAGAGGTAATGAACTGACTTACATCATCAAATCAATTCTTTTGACAGACAGCATTTTTATTTATATATTAGTTTTCTTCCTACAATATCTTTAGATTATTAATGTTACTGTTTAAACCTCTTTGATATTCAAACTAATAGTTTAGAAATGGCATATTAACTTTTACCAGTGGAACATTGGAATGTTGTTAATTTGTTAGCTATTTTTGTTTGTAGGTCAAAGGAAAGTATTTAGGGATAATATAACTAACTAGTTTTCCCTTGAAGTCTCACCATGCCGAATACCTCCTAAGGATAGGACTTCAGTTCTGGCCTTTGTCAGGCACATATTTATTTCTCCTTCAGTTGCATAAGACTGTGGGTATAAGTTGAGTTGGGATAGATTAATAGTTGCCATCGATGTAGTTACACAGTATTAGAATCTACAAGGCAGATAACAGTTGCAGAGACAGCAGTTCATTTGAGGTTGTACAGACAAATCCATTGCAGTGTTACATAGTCACATTTTATTAGAGGGAACATTTGCTGAATTGTGCTATACTTAGTGAAATTGCTTTAAAATGTTTATAAAATTAAGGAAGATATAAAGCTATAATGAAAAGGGAGCATCTCAATATGTTTTTATGGGAAATATTTTTTATGTGTACTTATTTTCCTTATTCATCATTATTAGCTCACCAAGCTTCTTACTAAATTATTAACTGATCATTAACTGTTCTGTAAAAGTATATCACAGGTAATCCATAAACTGAAGTATGCCATGTAAGTATGTGTATGCATTTAATGAATGCTTAATATATGCAGAGTGCTAGTGTATCACCTTAGACACTTCATGCTGGCTAACTTTAGGCAAATTACTTTACCTGAAATACTGTTTCCTCGTGTGTAGAATGTAGATTAAAAATCATATAGGGTCATTATGAGAATTAAGTAAATTAATATATAGAGTGGTTATAGTGAATAACTATATTATTATGTAATTAATTGTTGATCAGTTGAAATTCTTATGTATTCTCTAGCCTTATGGCTAAGCTTCTAGAAAAGATGCTTAACTCATTGAGAAACAATGTGATGATTCATTTCACTCTTAGGTCACTTAGATTTCTTGCTGGTTATATAACAACTTTGTTAAGGCTCCATGTTAAGTTCTGTAAAGGTGAATAAAATCTGCTTTGCTTGGAAGTAGCTTATTTTGAAATTTGTATAAAAGTCAGTAGTAGGGATGAATTTCCTAAATAACTCTAAAAGGGGAGATTTTAGCTTTTCACTTGTTTATAATATAAGGAATCTATATTGGCAGTCCATAAATCAGAGATCATTTGGGAATTTGAGGAAACATAATGATAATTTAATGATTCCAGTTTTATGTATATTTTATCCCTTTGTCATCAGCCCTTGTTTCAGTCATTTAGCTTGTATACTAATTTATTTATTAAAATAACATTATGAAATTTTTTATCCCCAGAAATGATAAAAAGGGAAATGGCTAGAATTTATGAAAAGATTAACTGGTTAGTCTCGTTTGATGTATATTTAATATACCAAACCTTTAAA